TTTAAAGTGGCTGCAGCTTCCCTTCAGTGATTCTTCAGCCTTGCCATTCTTCTCTTTAATCCAATATATGATCACTTGTTTGTTCCTTTAGCAGGAGCCAGGATTGGGAAAAAAATCCTTCTGGAATTACAATGCTTCAGAGAATTGGAACTGGAATGCCTTTGTCTGGTACATCAATGGCAATTGCTGCTTTAGTAGAGATGCGGAGGCTTAAAGCCGCTCAAGAATATGGGTCTAATAAGATACTCAAATCTTATGAATATTCAATTCAATTCAATTTTTTAATTGTTACTTGAATCTATACACGAATATGTTAAACATTACTTGTCAAATATTCGTATCCATTAAATATTCGATTAAAATAATTTAAAATTAATTTTTATGTATATTATTAATAAAATTAAATTAATAAATTAAAACTAATTCCAAAAAATAGTTAAAAGTTTAAAATCATATTTAGAACAAGTAATGAATTTTAATTAGTATTACATAATTATAAGAAATTTATAAACAAAAAATATATATTGAAAACTAAAAATTAATGTTGAAATTTATTATTTATAATTAAATTGAGATAGTAGATATTTTAATATTAATATTTGACTTTTACTTAAATTTATGATAAATAATAATTTTACTATCTGAACTCCATTATTGGGTCGAGCAATTGACATCTCTAGGTGGGAGTGATGGAGATAGCTGCTTTCCAAAAATCTAAATGGGGCACATCTTCATTATTTCTATTGGCTGATTCTCTCTCTGGTTTTACTTTACAAAAAAAAAAATTAATATTTTTATTTTAAATTATATAAATTTTGATTATTTATTAGTGATTAATTGTTGATAATTAAAAATATTATTTATTATTTTATTTTATTTAATATTAATATAATATATTAAAATATAATAATAAATGATGATATAAGGTTAATGTGACATGGTAAGGTTATTGCATAGAAGATAATACTTTCTATATATGATTTATTAACACATAACTGTTATGGCATGTCTAGTAACGCCTAAGCAACATACTAAGCTGTTAAGTGAAGTTCAACTCCCATGATTCAATAGGATACCATGTCCGTTAATAAAGGAGCAAGCATTATGCCTTTCAAACCTAATCATTTGGGTTGGTGTGCGTGAGTACTCCCAGTTACTTACCAAAGCAAAGATATGGCGGTCTCCACTCTCTCCGCTGCTCAAACCCCTCTTTTGGATGACGCAGTAGACGGCTCTCTTGACTACAAGGGCCGCCCCCTCCGCAGATCAAACTCCGGCGGTTGGAGATCCGCTTCTTTCATCATAGCTGTAGAAATCGCTGAGAGATTTGCTTATTATGGGATTGCTTCGAACCTCATCACTTACTTGACGGGGCCCCTGGGCGAGTCCACTGCCACCGCTGCTGCACAAGTCAACGCCTGGTCTGGGGCTGCCTCGCTCCTCCCACTTTTGGGTGCAATCATTGCTGATTCTTTTCTGGGCCGATTCCGCACCATCATTCTTGCTTCTCTTCTTTACATTTTGGTAAAGCAGATGTTTCGACCCGCAGCTTTGATATAATTTTGCCTCTCTTGTCCTTAATGCCTGGATTTTGGGTAGATATAATTTAGCATATTAAATTGCAAATCTTTCTTCCCTCTGGGAATTCATTTGCTATTGACATATGGAATCGAGGGTATACTTTCCTTTTGCATAATGGCAGGACTTTGAGCTTTTGTTCTCATGTTTGAATAATGAAAATTCCACACATTAAGTAGGCCTTGGTTCTCATTTATGAAGTTGTTGAGGTTATAAGAAATGGAAAGTGGTTGTAGAGAGCTGCTAGATTAGGACAATTGGTAGCTATAGGGAAACTCCAGCTTTGGATTGAAGGCCATAATTTGAAGGGGTGCTCGGGATTATTTTAATTGTTCTAGATGTTGTGTACAGTACTTGCTAGGCGTTTTCTTTAATGACTTTATTTGGAATGATTTATAGGGGCTAGGCTTGTTGACTCTGTCAGCCACTCTTCCTTCTGTCAGTACTTCTGGTGGCCAAAATGCAGATAACGTCACATTAAGTTCTTCTCTTCAGTTTCAATTGATACTATTCTTCTTCTCACTGTACTTAGTAGCATTTGCGCAAGGTGGGCACAAACCATGTGTTCAAGCTTTTGGTGCGGATCAATTTGATACACAAGACCCAGAGGAGTGCAAAGCCAAGAGTTCATTCTTTAATTGGTGGTACTTTGGTATGTGTGCTGGCACTTTGATAACTCTTTGGGTTTTAAACTACATCCAAGACAATCTTAGTTGGGTTCTTGGTTTTGGGATACCCTTTCTCATGATGTCTGTTGGACTGGTTGTTTTTCTGCTTGGAACAACAACTTACCGATTTAGTGTCAAAGGGGATGAAGAAAGCCCATTTATGAGAATTGGTCGAGTGTTCATTTTGGCAGTTAGGAATTGGAAAACAGCATCTTCAGCAATTGCTGCAGAGGAAGAAGCTCAAGGAACTCTTCCAACAGAAAGTTCCAAGCAATTCAAGTAAGTGAGACATTTTTGCATAAAGGAAAATTAGGACCTTAAAAAAGGGATAATATAGCTTTAGTGAAGATTAATATCTGAAGCTTTATACCCAGCTTCCTTCAAGGAAACAAACTGAAAATTGCAGAAAATTGTTCATGCTGATCTCTTTTTTGTTTTCATGGCATCTAGAAGGAGTCATACTATTATTATCTATCAAGGCTATAATCTGGCACTTTGACATGTGGATGTTAGGATCTTGTAAAATTGAGTGCCACCGCAATTTTTCCTATAAGGAAACACGTATGAACTCATGCTCATTCATGTCCAGGACACGTAGTTTCTTTTGTCATTCTGTAATTGCTTTGGTTGAGGCAATATACTATGATGTCTAGTTAATACGGAGCTCTTGCTCATTTCTTTTCTTCTTTCAACTATTGCAATGCTTAGAACTTCAATTTTGCTCAAACATTAGAGTTTTTTCTCATTTTGGTTTATAAAAGTGATGTTCATAGTTACATTTTCTGTACCCAACATCACTAATGTGGCAATTTGGATTTTCAAATGTGGTAGATTCCTCAATAAAGCGTTGCTTGCCCCAGACGGTTCAAAGGAGCAGGGAAAGGTGTGTAGCATCAGAGAGGTTGAAGAAGCAAAGGCTGTTATAAGGCTTGCACCAGTATGGGCTACAAGCTTGTTTTATGCAGTCGTCTTTGCACAATCATCGACTTTCTTTACCAAGCAAGGAGCTACTATGGACAGATCGATTACGGCAGGGCTTGAAATGCCTGCTGCTACCCTTCAGTCATTCATCAGCCTTTCCATAGTTCTTTTCATTCCTATATATGACCGCATATTTGTTCCTTTAGCAAGAGCGATGACTGGGAATCCATCTGGAATTACAATGCTTCAAAGAATTGGAACGGGAATGCTTCTATCTGCTACAGCTATGGTAGTTGCTGCTTTAGTAGAGATCCAGAGGCTTAAAACTGCTCGAGACTATGGGTTGGTAGACAAGCCAAATGTCACGGTTCCAATGAGTGTGTGGTGGTTGATCCCTCAATACGTTCTGTATGGATTGGCGGATGTGTTCGCTATGGTTGGTCTTCAAGAATTTTTTTATGATCAGGTGCCAAATGAATTAAGGAGTGTCGGTCTTGCGCTCTACCTTAGCATCTTTGGTGTTGGAAGCTTCTTGAGTAGCTTTCTCATCTCTGTGATTGAGAATGTGACTGGTGGAGATGGCCGAGATAGCTGGTTTGCAAATAATCTGAATAGGGCACACCTTGATTATTTTTATTGGCTGCTTGCCGCATTTAGTGCCATGGGTCTGGCTCTCTATATTTGTTCTGCAAAATTTTACATTTATGCCAGGGGAAGTACATTATAAATTTCTTCAGACGTTGTGATCAGTGTTCTACGTCTCACCATGACATCCATTGTTGTAAATTGTAACTACAATATATTCTGTTTTACAATGTGAAAAATGCATTGTCAGGCAGTATCCTTTTTGGTTGGGTTTGGGTTTGCTACTGGGCCTGGCCCTGACCCTTTTCACTTTTTATATGTTTAATTTTCAAAATTTCCTTTTCCTATTTGCCTAAACGATGTAGTTTTTTGTCTTTTCCAATTTTTACTTTTTTTTTTTTTTGCTTCATCTTCTTCTCTTTCTTTTTCCACGTTTTTTTAAGTAAAGATAGAGAAAAATAATCAGTCAAAAATTGAAATTAATAACTCTAATATCTCAATTATAAATTTAATTCTTACACTTTTATTAAAAATCGATTTAAGAACATGATATTTATTTATTTCTATTTTATTTACTCATGTGTTCTAAATCTCTATTGATTTTCTTTCACAAATTTCTACGAACCATCAATCATATTCTTTTGTTTTTATTATGTCATATACGGATTATATCTTTTACTTGTCATGTTTTTTTTTTCTGTTATGTAGATTTTATTTTTTAAAATTTTAACCTTTAAGAATAAATAAATTATTATATAATTCTCAAATATAAGTTGTAGTGTTGCATTGTTACTTAGAATTTTATCAATATATTATTTTTTATTCAGAGTAATCAATTCATTCTAGTATATATGTTACAAACTTTAAGTAACAAAGATATATATACAAATTGATAGAATGATATAATTGTATTTCTTTCAATACAATTTTATTTATTATATATATTTTTAATGGTTTTCAAAATAATTTTTTATTTAATAATTAGTTCAACTTAAAATCAATTATGAGATTATAAAACTATTTAAAGCGAGTAATAAGCCTTTTGAAGGAATGGGTGACTCTAAATGGACTTTTCTTGTTGATAAATGCTTGTTTCTTTACGTTTTTCGAGGCAGACATTCAATTATAGTCTGTTTTAAAGAAAACTGTAAAAAAAATCAACTTAAAATCAATTATGAGATTGTAAAACCATTTAAAGTGAGCAATTAGCCTTTTGAAGGAATTAGTGACGATAAATGTACTTTTCTTCTTAATGAATGGCTTTCTCTACATGTCTCTTACTGTAGACATTCAATTATAGTCTGTTTTAACAAAAAATATAAAACAATTCAGCTTAAAATCAATTATGAGATTGTAAAACCATTTAAAGCAAGTAAGAAGCCTTTTGAAGGAATGGGT